CGCCTGCGGGGTGGAGGACGTCCTGCAGCTGCTGCGCATCCTCTACATCATTGGAAGAGACTCGGTCTCGAACACTCGCACCTTACAGGAGGGTACGACACACACACGGACAGACACACACACCTGTCCCACCTGGGTTCACCTGTCTGTAGTCTAACTCTTTATGAACCTCTGTGCAGATGTTGATGAGCTGCAGTTTAATGCGTCTCCAGAAGAGTTCACCAGCAAGAAGGTCACCACCAAGATCCTGCAGCAGATCGAGGTCTGAGTCTCCTGATTGGTTGGAGCTTTTGATATTTTATAAAAAGATGTTTTTCTTTCTGATCAAAGAGTCTTTTTTTTTTTTTTAGGAGCCTCTGGCCGTCGCCAGCGGAGCTCTGCCTGACTGGTGTGAGCAGCTCACCTCCAAGTGTCCTTTCCTCATCCCCTTTGAGACCAGACAGCTGTACTTCACCTGCACTGCCTTCGGGGCCTCCAGGTGAGCTCGGCTCTCAGAGCCACAACAAACACCGGCACCAGGTGTCGGGGCTGGACCCGCAGGACGGGCCGTTCTAACTTTGTTTTGTTCTCCAGGGCGATCGTGTGGCTTCAGAACCGGCGGGAGGCCACCATGGAGCGGACCCGACCCTCCACCACGGTGCGGCGAGACGACCCGGGAGACTTCAGGGTGGGGCGTCTCAAACACGAGCGGGTCAAAGTCCCCCGAGGAGAGTCCATGATGGAGTGGGCCGAGTCAGTCATGCAGATCCACTCCGACAGGAAGTCTGTCCTGGAGGTGAGAGGTCACCTGGAAATGACACACAAAGAGTTGATGTTTACGCCTCTCTGGTTTCATGATGTTCTCTGAACAATGACACAGCACTTCTCTGGACGATGACTCAGCGCTTTCTGTTTGCTCAGGTGGAGTTTCAGGGAGAGGAAGGAACCGGTCTCGGTCCCACTCTGGAGTTTTACGCTCTGGTTGCTGCTGAGTTTCAGAGGACGTCTCTCGGGATCTGGCTCTGCGACGACGACTTCCCCGACGACGAGTCGCGACAGGTCAGAACCAGAAATGATTGACAGCTGTCAGATCGGACCACGTGTCTGAACTAAAGAGGAGTTTTGTGTTTTAATCCAAAAAACAAGTGTTAAGACTTTTTTTCTTGTTATTTTTAAATAAACCTTTTTTGTAAACATCAGATTAAAATGAATGAAGCTGGGATCAGCTGATTTGCTCCAAACCAGCTGAAAAATAAACTTTGGCCTGATTTGTTGCCCAGAAATATTTTAGGAAAAGATCTTTCATTTATCAGAACTTCAYCAAACAAAAACATCTTAAATCGGGTTCCCACAGATCCTTAAAGTCTTAAAAGGCATTAAATTAATCAGTCCAAAGATAAAGCCTTAATTAGCCTTAAAATGTCTTAAATCAACCTTTCAGAGGTCGTAAATGTTCACACACGTAAGAAGAACGATTGTAATTTGTCTCGAATATTAAAATTGGAAACATTTATTTTTATTGCCTCTCGCATCTCGTTTTGTGTTAAAACATTTTTCTGTGTTTTTATTGTAAAGTTGGTCTTAAGTTTAGTTTCAAGTAGCATTAAAGACGTCTTAGATTGAACTTGACTTCAGCTGCAGGTAAATATTAAAGACCCAGTTTGAACCCATCAGAGTGTGTGTTGGAAAGAACTCTCAGCTACTACCACACTTCACAGATCAGGGACCTGAAACAGAAACAGTCCTGATATAAGTGGGCCATCTTGAGTCCAAAGGTTTATAAATGTTAAATAATCCTCAATCCTGTGAATATTTTGRCAAAAAGAAGAACTTAAAAGAATAAAGAGGTTTTTCTTGGTAACGATGTAAAGACTGAGGTTCAGGTTGATCAGAGTCACTCAGTAAACTGATCCGGTTCTTGTGTTCCTGCTGGTTTCAGGTGGACCTGGGTGGAGGTTTGAAGCCTCCGGGTTTTTATGTGCAGCGTTCTTGCGGACTGTTTCCGGCTCCGTTTCCTCAGGACAGCGAGGAGCTGGACCGTATCACCAAACTCTTCCACTTCCTGGGAGTGTTTTTGGCCAAGTGCATCCAGGACAAYCGTCTGGTGGACCTGCCGGTCTCTCAGCCCTTCTTCAAGCTGCTCTGCATGGGGGACATCAAGTCCAACATGAGCAAGCTGCTGTACCAGTCCCGCAGCTCGCTGCCGGCCCACGGGCCCGAGCGGTCCCAGCTGCTGTCCGAGGTGCAGTCCGAGGCGTCCACGGAGGAGAGCCAGGAGACGTTCTCTGTGGGCAGCTTCGACGAGGACTCCAAGTCCGAGTTCATCATGGACCCGCCTAAACGGAAAGCGCCCGCCTGGTACCACGGCATCCTGACCTGGGACGACTTCCAGCTGGTCAACCCGCACAGGTCAGCACTTTGCTTTGAGCTTGGGTTTTTATTTTCATCCAAACGTGTTTCCTCTGGAGGTTCTGAGTCTCTGGGTCTGGTCTTTGTCCAGGGTCAGCTTCCTGAAGGAGGTGAAGGAGCTGGCCCTGAGGAGGAGGCACATTTTAGCCAGCAAGAGCCTGTCTGAGGACGAGAAGAACACCAGACTGCAGGACCTGATGCTGAGGAACCCGCTGGGCTCCGGACCTCCCCTCAGTATCGAGGACCTCGGGTAAAACACACAAATATACACACACAGACACACAACTTGTAAGATGTTGTATTTAAACAAACAATAAATGTAACTTCAGCATTTAAGGAAAGATTTTCATGCAGCTGCAGATATTTCTGCTCTTAGAACCAATGAAAACATAAAAATAATATACAGTATTTGCAGCTGATTTATTGTCTGAAATCAGCTGAATCGTCTGAATATTTCCTGTAAAACCTGAGTTTTGTTAGTTTTGTGTTTTTATAAATACTGAATGCAGAACCTGTCATCAGGACGTCTGTATTTTCACTCTGAACTGTTTAATAAATCAGATTTTTCTGACGTTTCTCCTCAAACAGATTAAACTTCCAGTTCTGTCCGTCGTCTAAGGTCCACGGGTTTTCTGCAGTGGACCTGAAACCAAACGGAGACGACGAGGTGAGAGCTCACCTGGAGGTTCTTCTTTTGTTTCATTTTGAACATAAACCTTTACAGGACCCTCCACAGTCCTCCAGCCGGTCCCCTCAGGTCTCTCATCAGTTTCTGTCCTGCTCTCGATGCAGATGGTGACCATGGAGAACGCTGAGGAGTACGTGGAGTTAATGTTTGACTTCTGTATGCACACCGGCATCCAGAAACAGATGGAGGCCTTCAAAGGTGATTTTAAATCTTTTATTTATCTTCTTAAAAACTAACTTCCTCTTCAGGTTCTTCTCTCTGTCATGAATCATTGTCTAAAAATCCTTGTTTCTGCTCCTCAGAGGGTTTTAACCGTGTGTTTCCCATGGAGAAGTTGAGCTCTTTCAGTCCTAAAGAGGTGCAGATGATCCTCTGCGGCAACCAATCACCTTCCTGGAACGCCGATGACATCATCAACTACACCGAACCAAAGCTTGGCTACACCAGAGACAGGTGCTGCGTCTTTTTCCCGCCCTCTGAAGGTGGTTTTAGCTAACRTGAAGCTAACATGAGGGATTGGTTTTCTCCCCTCTGCAGCCCTGGCTTTCAGCGCTTCATCAGGGTTTTATGTGGGATGTCGTCTGACGAGCGGAAAGCCTTCCTGCAGTTCACCACCGGCTGCTCCACGCTGCCCCCCGGTGGCCTTGCCAATTTGCACCCCCGCCTCACCATAGTCAGAAAGGTTGGTTCAGTTCTGATGATGCGGTCTCCAGATTCAAAGATTCTGAAATGACTTATTTTACATAAAYACTGCTACCAACTATTAGCATAGATGCTAACTTAACATTAAAACACCATAGATGAGCTAACTCTGTTAGCCTAGTCTTTATTACTTTTTACTATTTATAACTTTCTCTGGAAGTTAAAGGTTCACTTTTACTGAGTTAACTACAAGAACTTGTTTCATTTTTTTACTATAAGAGTCTCAAATACACTAACTTAAAAAAATAAAACTTTAACCACTCAGACCATCAGGGTTASAGATCTATATTTAAAACTCTTATTGTGAAGGATTAAAAGAAGTAATAAGCCTCACCTCAGCCTGATCCCACTAAATGTTTTTTTTTTGTTTTTTCCTGAGTTACTTGCTCCACATCCATCACTGTAACCTCGACTTCCTGTCCTCAGGTGGACGCCACTGACTCAAGCTATCCCTCCGTCAACACCTGCGTCCACTACCTGAAGCTTCCGGAGTATTCGTCCGAGGACATCATGAGGGAGCGTCTGTTAGCTGCCACCATGGAGAAGGGCTTCCACCTCAACTGACCCTCCACCATCGCTGCTGTCACGCCGAGCATGCGCCTCAAACGTTTAAAGAAAAAAAATAAAACCATCTGTTCGTGTCGCCGCTGCAACCAGCCAAGTGACTGATGGACGGCCTGCTGGATGGAGCTCGTGTTGTAGAAATCAGATTAAACATCTTCAGTCCTCGTTTGTGTCCTCGCTCCTGATGTCCTCTGATCCTGCAGGCTGTGCGTGTGTGTGAGAGAGAGTTCTGTGTGTTCGGTCCAGTGCCTGGTTTGACTTCCAGTTTTCTATCAGTCGTGCTCGTTTTTTTTTTTCTCCTCGACTTGTTTTAAGTTCGTCTTCAGTTACATTTCACTCCTGCGTGTGCGACAGGTTTTCAGTTTGTTTCTGACCTGATAGAAAGGTCAACGTTCAAAGAGCTTTTTGTGTTTTCATTTCTCATGAGCTATAAAGATAAAAACCACCACATTTAAAGATAGAAACAACAAACAGCTCTGCTCTCCCTGTATTTTCTTTGTATATTATAAACATTTATTTAACTGAAGTTGCAGTTTGGGGTAAACAGATATTTTCAAATGTGTATGCTCCGAAAAGAATCATTAAAATGTTTGCAAAGTATGAAGTAAAGACGGCGTCTTGTGTTTGATTTGTTACAAGTATTTGAAAGAAAGCAGCATTTATGAAATTTAACAGTTTTATTCAGTTTATAAGAACATTTCAGACGACTTGTAATCCATCATCCGTCCACCATCTTGTTGATGGCGGTGAGCGGAGCGAGGACGCGGCTCTTGTTGGTCTCCACGACATGACCGTTCTGGATCATCTCGTCCAGGATGATGTGGACCGAGTCCAGGTTGAACATGATCTGATCGGGTCAAGGAAAGCTCTGTTTACAGTCGGTACTTACCACGGATCTGTTAAAATCCTGTCAGTTTTCTGCAGCAGGAAGGATACATCGAGTTCACTCTGAGGAGAAACAGATTTATGAACGTTTGAATCAAACATTTGTACAGGTGCGTACAGGCAGAACGACTCGTTAACCTGTGAAGGRTCAAAGGTCATTTCAGTGTTAAAGTGATACTTGAGTAAAAGTACAAGTATCTTACCAAAAAATTGTTTTGGTAAAAGTTACATGTCTCCTTTAGGAATATTACTTGAGTAAAAGTGTTRAAGTATGTGATATTTGTTGTAGTTAAGTATTAAAAGTCAAAGTTTAGATTTAAAATGAGCAGTTAGATTTTCTGTAAGGACATTTATTAGGAGGTGACCTCCCCAAAAACTGCAGAAATGACTGTTGTATTAAAAGAATGAATGGATGTTAAATTTAGGATGCACTAGTCCAGCTGTTTCAGTTTATATACATATATCAAGGCTGCACAAAGCTTTTCCCCAAAATGAAAATCTATCTGAGGGCTGCGGCCAAATGTAAGAATATAATTCATGAAATACAAATACTTCTTAAGTACAGTCCTTTTATTTGAATGATTCTGTCCTGCTGGAGTGTGACATGATTTGTTTGTGTGCAAACTAATACACTATCAGAGTTTTATATATTTATACTTCTCATTCAACCACAGTTAAATTCACTCTATCTAGGAGGCTCAGTTTATATGGATAGTTTTTATTTTTTACAACAACAAGCTGCAATGAAAACAAGCAAAAATGAAATAAAAGTAACAACTTTCTACTACTTGTCTTTTTTAAAAATACAAGAAGTAGAAGTAAAAAGTAGGTTGAAAAATAATTACTCAAGTAAAGTACAGATAACCAAAAATTCTACTTAAGTACAAAAAGTATTTGTACTTAGTTAATTTACATCTCTGGTCATTACTCTGAATCTGTTGGGTAGAAACGGGTCTTGAACTCACCACGCGACTGAAGTATTTATCCAGAACTTCCACAAAGTTCTGGATCAGTTCATAGATGGACAGCTCGTTCTGTGGGGTACAAATAAAGCAGGAAGTGGGTGAAGATGATGATGATGAGGAGGAGGAAAACACCTGAGYTCATCTTCATCCTCACCTCACTGTGTGTGACTCCCATCACCACATAAAGAGCAGCATATTGTCGATACACCAGCCGGAAGTCTTTGTACTCCACAAATGAACACTGAGGAGAGGCGGGAGATGAAGTCAGTGACTCTGATCACCTGTTGGTTGTTATTAATGAAACCTCCGGGCATGGCGGCAGGTACTTGCTCCTTGTTGCGGCTCAGGCAGCAGCGGACCACAGCGGCTTCCAGCGCCGCTCTCCGGCTCAGTTCCACCGGCTCGTAGTACCGGGACAGTCTGGTCTGACCCTGCTGGTTCACCATCAGCACGAACTTAATCATCCTGTCTGCTGGTTACAGAACCACAGCGTCAAATGTTACCTTGCCATTTATTAATAGTGTCCTTAAACGCATCACCGCTGGGTTTGAAAGCTATGCTAACCAGTTAGCTCAGTTAGCTTCAGCTTTTAGCCAGTTTCGATAAAATAAATAAAACACGTCAGATTTTAACTCGCTATGTTTTTCGTGTTGTCTCTAACATTAAATCAAAAGTCAACACGTTGATTGTTTAACAGCGGAGACATAATTATTGTAAACAAACATCAAAATATGTTTTCTTCTTCGTGAGTTTTTTTTCTTCTTCTGTTGTTTTTTTTTAAGTTGGCAACGAATTAAAAGCCTCTTTATCGCCGCCCATTGAACTGGCGTGTAGACAAGACCAACTATTTTTAAATCAATAAATTTCAATCCCATTTCCTCCACTCTGAACTCCTTATATTAGAATATGAATTAGCAAATTATGTTTAAACATAATTTTAGTCCTCACATTGCTCCAAAATGGAATAACAGAGTTATTTTGAGTGGAAGAAAATCTATGTTTATGGAAGATTGGTGGCACAAACAAATTACACAWTTATTGGATAACAACTGGACGACTAATATCTTTAATCTGGAGGAATTTAACTACAAGTATGTCACTGATTGTTTAAAGAAAAATTACAAAAAACACAGTAAAAATATCCCTGAAGTGCTCATTCAATCAGTTAAAAATACTTTGTCAAATATCACAAATATTAACTGCAAGTCTACACAAAATTAAAATTGACTATGTCGACATTGTTGATAAAAAATGTAATAATAAGTTTCTAAGTCAATATTTAATTAACACCAATTACCGATAAAAACACACTCACCTTACTAAACTTTGACATAATTCATTTCAAAAATTAGAAGATACTTAAAATTTCCAATTCCTCCTAAACAAACATTTGTTTCTTGAGTGTGTTGAAGTTCAACAGTTACGGAGACTGTTACACAATTTTATTTCTTCCATATCCATAGATATAGATTTATTCTCTTTTCAGAATATTCAGTTTGGTTTATTTCTAGTCAATAATGTCATCAGTGTAAAAAAAAACGATTATAAACATAAAGGTCGATTTGCTAAATTCCCTTCATTCTGTGTTCTTATGAATAACCACTTAAATTTTTTTAATCTTATTTTTTGGTTTCTTAGGC